AAAATGTATTTCCCAGTAAATGTTATAACCTTAATTAACATCATGTAAACAGAGGACATTTTTTAACAGGGAATACAAGTTTGCATGTCTTAAAGATAGAATTGTCCTTTGGTGGAAGCAAGGTGAGGGGGACTGGACCAATAATTTTTTTTTCTGTATTGGGAATTCTAGTTATAAAAACTCCCTCCACCAATACAGAAATGCATCTTATCTATAACTTCAAAGCTTAGAGAGTTTATTCAAGACAATGAAAGTTTAAATGATGATGATGATAATGATGATAGTGTTTATATGGTTCCTTAAGGTCTGCAAAGTGCTGTGCATATGTTATCTCATTTGATTCTCATAACAACCCTGGGAGGTAGGTACTATTATCCTCATTTTACAGATGAGGTAACTAGAGCTAAAAGAGGTCAACTAACTTTCCCATGATTGCATTGTATATATCAGAGCAAGAACTTGAATTTTTGAAGTCTACGTAACTCCAATGTTGGCCATCTGTGTACAACAGTCACAAGATCTCTCAGCATTTTGCTATTATTTAAAAATAAACCCATTTGCATTTTATCACTTAGTTTTACCCTGAGAATCTATGGTTTTATATTCTTTTTGTTATTTCAATCATGATATTTTTAATCAAATTATATTTCTGAGTCTCAGGATTTCACATCTTAAACAACAGGGGTATTTAACCTGAAATTCCTGGAACAAGCTGTGCAGTGCAGTGAATGTTTGCAATATGTCATTGTGTTCTGCTCAGCATCAGAAGTGCTGTGATCCTGAGAAAGAGAGAATTTAGAATCTAAAGGAAATAACTCATACAGTTGCTAGGAGTGATTTTTTTCTTTCCTATTACGTGTATGTTTTATCCATCTATGTGTCTTGTTAAAGTCTTCCATGTACTCAGTAAAGTATGACTTCATGAGCTAATTTTACTTACGCAAGTAAATTATAAAGCCTATATTTGCTTTTATTAATGTCATTAACTTTAATCCTTTCAGTTATGTCAGTGATTCATGGTTCAACCTTTAACAAATTATTCCATTTTTCTATGCCTCAGTTTCTCCAGTGACAGAACAGGATTAATGACATCTGTTCCATCTCTTCTACACAGGAATAGTACTATAATGAATTAGAAAATGCTTTAAAAGTGATTCTATAAATATATGATTGGTAATATGAACTTATTAATACATATTATTTCATTAGTTGCAGGATAAAATATGCAAAAGAAATCATAACTATTCATTATTATATTAACAATTGTTATGATGATGATCTGTGGGACTTTGTCAGTATTGACCAAGCAAAAATTTATCTAGATATTTTGATTAAACAGTCTTCTCTTACATTAACTACAAACTCTGTTTCTTAAATCCTTCTCTTTGATTGTCTTCAAGTATGGTAATTATGGTGACCTTCCTAGAGAAGATGAACACAGAGACGAGATGAGGCTTTTGTGCACTCTAAATGAGGATTAAAAATCGGGTTGCCCTCCCTCCTCCTCCCCACCATTGAAAAGATGAGCACAGCCTTACCTCTTAAAAAAGAAGATAAGTCACTTCACTAGGAAAACATTGCCATGTTCCATAGGATATTTTGCCACAAAATAAAGACATATATGCCAAGGGCAGTTCAATTTTCTGGAAATAAAAATGTATGCATTTAGAAAAGGTCAAATTTTAAAGTGTCCCTCATTGCGACCCCTGTATTTTTTTTGCTCTAGGCAGCTCCCTACTTTCCCTGCCTTTAATCCTAGTTCTGGGTAGACCCAAAGTATAAATATGCTTCCTTTTTGTTCATAGAGATCCTGCTGCTAGCCAACCTTCGACAGGATTTATCTACTTTGATTCTATAGGTCTGCTGAAGGATTGGCCTATATATACCCACATCAGCAGGACACATTTATCAGGTAGCTGGCCAAGATTATGGGTATATTCAGTAACCACAGGATAAAGTTAGGAATCTTTCCCAGTTTCTTCTAATTGGCAAACTCCAATGGCAATTACCTCTAGATTCAAAGGTAAATTACTTGGTTTGGCATTTGAAGCACTTCACAGCTTTGTACCTTCCTATTTCTCCAATTTTCTCACTCATAACCACCCATCATGAATTCTACAGTGTAATCATACTGGCTTGTTTGCTTTTCCTCACATGTAACCTTCCCTCTCCCATATGCCTTTGCATTCACTGTCTTCCATATCCAGAATGTATTCTATTCTCTCCCTTGCCATTTGTCTTTGCTTCCTTCAAACTCAGCTTGAGGACTACTTTGTACACAAGGTATTTCATGATCATCCAGCCAGTAGTGTTCTTCCCAAAACAATCTTAAATCCATCTTGTATATACTCTGTATATAGTATTTTTCTTTTTAAAACTTAATTGTTTTTTTCTGATTAAAAAGCATTCATTCTCTCCTCTAGTCATTCACTCCCATTAAACAATAACGATAAATAAATAAAATCCTCACAACAAATATGTATAGTCAAGCAAAACAAATCCCCACATTGTTAGTCATGTTAAAAAATATGTATGCTTCATTTTGTATTTAAATCCATTACCTCTCTGGGAGGAAGTGAGTTGCATGCTTTATATTTGGTCTTCTAGAATTGTGGTTTGTCATTGCATTGTTCAGCATTCTAAAGTCTGTCAAAGTCATTTTTCTTTATACTACTGTCTTATAAGTTGTTCACCTAGTTCTACTTTGCACTTCACTCTGCATCACAGTAGAGAGGATTTCCCAGTTTCCTCTAACACTGTCCATTTCATCATTTCTTAGGCATTATGATATTCTATTACATTTACATATCATAATTTGTTTAGCCATTCCCCAATAGGTGGGCACTCTCTTCATTTCCAATTTTTTGCTATTATGAAAAGAGCTGCTATAAATGTTTTGTACATATAGGTCTTTCTCCTTTTTCTTTGATCTCCTTGGCATATGGATACAGTATGGATGTGACTGGGCAAGGTAATAGTTTAAAATTGTTTTTTCAGAATGGCTGAACCAATTTACAGCTCCACTAATAGTTCATTAGTATACCTGTTTTCCTGAAAATGTGTACATGTTCTTCTCCCTGAGGCTTTTGCCTCATTAGGATCATATTTTAACCAGCTGGACAGCTGAGATAACTGACCACTCATAGATACTTAATATAATTGGCACCATACTCTTCTCAAAACAATAGCCTACTAAATGTTATATTTTTGACAAGGTGTGGTCAATAAAGCTTCAAAAGGTGGCTAATTTACATTCACAGGTTATCTTGGGCCCAGAGAGAATCATCAATGGAGAAAAGGATATTTTGAATTGTGTTTACTTAGTCACATTAGGATTATTTCTACGTAATACCAAATGTTGATAAAAACTGGAGGAAAAAAAAAGATCCAGTCAGGCATCTAAATGCTTCCAGATATGCAAATATCTAACACTGTTAAGGTATATTCAGATTTAGTGGGAAATGGGCCCCCAAACTAATGATCAGGCAATCTAATGGCATGGGAAAGCATTGGAAAGTCTTCTGTTTCTTCCAATGCCATTACAGACTTAGTCACTACTATATCAAGACAGCATGGCATAATGGAAAGAGCCATTGAATTGAAACCAAGTCGGAATCCTACCTCTGATACTTACTACTTGTGTGACTATGGGCAAGTCACTTAACCACACCAAGCCTCAGTTTTCTCAACTAAAAAATGGGAATAATAGCAACACCTACTGGACAATTGTTGTGAGGATCAAATTAGAGAATGCATGTTAAGATTTTTTTTCCCAACTTTTGAGCTACTATGTAAATTTGAGATATTATTATTATCTGTTGAGGATAGAGGGTGAATCACAAAGTGGGATTTCATAGCTAAAACAAAAAAAATTACTCCATCAGTAAGATCATCCATTTTTTACAAGTTGAGACAAAATCTCTCATCAAAGCAGACCAGTTCATGAGGCCCTGGTCTCATTTAGCTAGCTATGAATTCATAGCTACATTATTTTCCTTCTTGGGAAAATAACAAAAAACTACCTCTCCCCTGAACATTGTCATCTTACAGCCCACATGCATAAGAATGCTAGCAAATGAAGGCTCAAGTACAAGGTTAATGACATGTTAATTACGGAGTAAGCAGCTTGCAGCTTAATAAAGCATGAGCCTTAAATTCCCCCAATAGCTTTTTAATAAAGATTCTTTGAAACTTGACAATTAATTAAAATCTTAGAATAAGATACAGGTGATGAGACTGTAAGGACTAAGCACTTTTAAGCTACTGAGATCAGCCCAATGACAACGGTTCTATGAGGGAAAACTCAAGGTCCTAAATAGATCAGAGAATCACAGAGAGTCATCTTGTCCAACCCTCTGCCTGACCTTTGAAGCCCCTCCACAATATCCCTCAACAAGAAGGAAAACATAGAACTCTTGCTTTTATCTTCATATCCCAACCCCTAGCACAGTACCTATCACACAATTGCTACTTAATAAATGCTCATTGATTTACTGAATGAAAAAGTGGTGATCCAGCCTTCACTTGAAAATAGTCCCAAGCAAACTTGGTCCATAGTAATTTAATAGCTCTAACCCATTCTTGAACTTGGGAATACAGAGTGCTGGTGTCCAAGAAAGTTAAAAGGTTTATTGCTCAGACAATGACAATCTAGGTGCCTATCAAAAACTTTCTGTTTCTGTTGCCAGTGTTTCCTATTTTTTGCATAATAAGAAGGAGCTGTGCTATTTATCTTGCGTTTGTTTATGTAGAGCTTATATATTATGATCACTGAGTATTTGCTGTAATTTAAAGAAGAAAGGAAATGGTAGCCTATGGAGAAACAGAAATTTAAAAAATATATTTTGAAGGGAAAAGACTTTGTTCAAATGGGCTACCTCATAAGCTGATAGAACAAGAGAGACACTAGGTGTCTCTGAGCTCTTTGACATTTACTGTAAGCTAAAGGGCAAATTACTTAGGACCTACTTATTTGGCCATTATCATTTCAGCTAAGAAGAATGAGTTCTTGTACCAACATCTGTGGGGCCAAACAAGCACAGAATACACTTGAGGGTGGATATCAACGCTATGGAGTCCGATCCTACTTGCATCAGTTTTATGAGGACTGTACAGCTTCCATTTGGGAGTATGAGGATGATTTTCAGATCCAGAGATCACCTAATAGGTGGAACTCGGTTCTCTGGAAGGTAAGGGGGGAAATGTCCAAGTGAGTGTGTATACGTAGTTAGCTTAGCTAATGAAGAGAGAACTAGTAGGGAAAATATTTAATCCAGCTATAAAAATAAAGTCCAAATCTTTAGTCTTTCTCTGACTAAATGCATGATTCCCACTGACATTGAATGTGCTCTTTTCTTATCTTAGAAAAAATGGGTATGAAGCTCAGCCCTAAGCAATATCACTAGATAAATAATACTTCAATACCCCCAAAAGATCTGTGATCTCATCCAGGTGGGTATGCCCTTCAATGATACAGGCCTCAATCAATTAGACCCATCTATCCTATGGAATTCTGATCCAGGTTTTTGACATTGTTTTACATAGACTGGCATTGTTGCTAATATTAGTTATGATTACTAACATTTTTAATATTCTGTAAGATGCTCTTAATGCATAGGTTAATCCCTAACTAAGCAAAGGAAACATTTTCAGGTATCAATTGCAGGTGTAATTTTTGAAATAGTAACTGGAAAAAGTGAAGGAGCTAATACATAGGGAGAGTAATGTAGTAGAAAGAACACTGGCTGAAAGTCAGCAACTGTAACTTTCCTCCTAAATCTGCTACTAGCTAATAGTCTGACTTTGGACAAGTTACTTCTCCTCAGGCCTTAGACTAGATGAGATCTAAGGCTCCCCTTCCATTACTAATATCCACCAGCTTCCAAAAGTGCCTTACAACTCAGAGTTGCTAAGCATTTGGACAATGTGGCACTCTGATGGATTATGTCATATTTTACCAGTGAAAGAAATGTATTAGAAAACAGAACACAAAGTTACCTAATGTTTCTATAAATGAACTAAGAAAGTATTAGGTTAATAAGCTATAAACAAAATAGCACAGTTGTGTAAGACAGCAACAGTTAATAGGTGACCCAAGATCCAACATTAACCAAAGAATTCAACTTGTCCAGATGCCAGCTGGCTTGACCCAGGCTCCATTTATTCAACCCTCACTGACTTGAGCCAATGAAAGAAGCAGGTGAGAGGCAGTGCAGCATAGGGCAGAGTGCTAGGCTGGTGCCCAGATTCTGGTATCAGCTCTGTCCCTCACCTACTATATGACCATACAGGGGAAAAGAACCCCATCTCTGGAATCAGAAGACTTACATTCAAATCCTGCTTCAGATGTCAACTACTTTTGTCACCTTGGACAAAACACTTAATCTCCTTGAGTATCATTTGTAAAATCAGGGGATTCTACTAGATGACTTCTGAGGTCTGTTTTGGATCAAATATTTTAAAGTACTATGATGAGCTTCTATGTTTCTTATTTGGCAAAAAATCAAACATTTGCCTGCACATAACAAGTAAAATGTTACAAACATCTAAAGCACTTTAGGAATTGGTAATGTGAGTGACAGTGAATGATTAGGTCATAAACTTATCAAATGGTTCTAGTGATAAAAAGGCATCTCCACACAAATTTAATGGCCCCGGAATCCTGTATTTAATCATGCCCTGCCTTTTATTGTAAGCAGCCAATGCTTGTGTCCAAGTCCTGGATTCATATTCTGGTTAAGATATTCCTTCTTCCTTCTTGATAATGAGACTGGGAATTATGAAACCTCTGTCACCTACTGAGTTAATTAAGGATTCTAGGACTCAAGGTTTGCATCTCTACAGTAGAGATAAAATAACCACCATCTGTTTGACTCCTACAGAAGAATTGAGAATGGATGTAAAAGCATTTATAAAATACTTTCAATAACTTCCCAAAAGCATGTTATATGGGATATTTGTATTATCATCCTTTCTCTCTTTTATCCATCAATGTCTGTGTGGACTGAAGCAACTAATATTTCTTTCCATCCCACCCTCACTATGGCCAGGCCAGAGTGATGGATTCTTATCTACATATGAGCTCAGCACAGCTTAATTCTATGGCCACAGACACCACCTTCAATGCAAACCAGTTATTTTGCAGTTCAGCACTACTAGTCTTGGGGGGGGGGGTCCCTAATAAGACTGTGGATTGTCTCAAATCTATAAGCACAGATAGAATTAAAACTTAAAGCATGTGCCCTGCCCTACTGATGGTAGGTTAGAAGCAATGACTTTCATACATGAAAACAATCCAGTGACAATACTAATAAACTGCCCAAATGTCATTCTAACCTGAGTGGTTTTCTCTTTCGTTTCTAGCACCATTCTTGCTTTTCTCACTTCCCCCCACTCTCTTCTGCTTCTTCTCTGCCAAACCAGCTGACTTGCTCCTGCCATCCTCTCCTATTACACTGGCCAAAATTTATGAATGCCAGGGGCTAGTTCTAAGTAACTTTTATCATAGATGGCAGTGTCTATATTTGGCACCTGTAAATTCAAAACCACATATGGCTCAATGAAATAATACATTTTCCTTTTTTATGTGAACAGGAATGATGCCACCTTTGTATTTTGCCTTTTAACTTCTGAGAAAAGTTCCCAATGTGGATTTTTTGTTGATGAAGTCCTATGCAGTTGAGCAGCAAGTTACTTGGGGGGGAAATCTTCTACTCCTCATTACCCATACTCAGCAATTTGGATTTTGTTGTTGTTAGTCATTTTCAGTTGTGTCCAACTCTTTGCGATTTCATTTAGTGCACAACAAAGATACTGGAGTGGTCTGCCATTTCCTCCTCCAGCTCATTTTATAGATGAGGAAACTGAGGCAAACAGGGTTAAGTGATTTGCCCAGAGTCACACAGCTAGTAAGTATCTGAGGCTGAACTTGAACTCAGGAAGATGAATTAGTCTTCCTAACTCCGGGCCTGGCACTCAATCCACTGTACAACCCAGCTGCCCTGCAATTTAGATTAGTCAACCACTATTTATTGAGCACTTCTGTGTGCATAGCCCTATCCTCGGTACTATAGGTGGGTACAAGAGAAAAATAAGACATGGCCTACATTCTTAAAAATCTTGGAATTTAATTGGTAACATTTCTATTACCTCAGTTTTTGAGATCCTGATATTGATTAAATAAAAATAGAAGAACCAACAATGACCAACAGAGCCCAGATTATTGAGCTATGGAAACTGATATCAAAGTTTTCCAGGAAATGTCACAGCAGAGCCATGATTAACTTTGGTTTCATTTTATATAAACCTCCAGTATCCTTCAGGAATCATATCCATTTATTTCAATTATAATCAGGAACTAGTCTTTAAAAATATAATTGTCAATTTTTTTAAATAAACAGAAAATTCTATTTTATTCAACAAAAATATCATATTTTAGGTATGATGACATATCACCCTCATATTAGAGTCTACATGTTCTGCTTAAAAAGGAAAATGAGAAGCAGTACAGTATAGTAAATAAAGAGCTAGTCTTGAAGCTAGGAAGACCTAGGTTCAAGTCCTGACTCTGACTCTTACTAGCCATGTGACTATGGGTAAATTACTTAACCTTTCAGTTCCTCATGCAACTAAGACTATAAATTATAGAACTGCTTTAGTGAAGGGAGTTTACACACTGGGATTATCTTACACTCCTCCCAACACACACACACACACATACACACACACACACATGCACACACACACAAGTTTCTGTTTCAAAAGAATGAACTTAGCCCATTTTTTTTTCTTATCCAAGATTAAAGGGGCTTTTTGAAGTGAAAAGATGTTCTACCCTTTCTTTCTAAATAAAGGTAGATTGGTACAATAGCAAAGGTGGACATATCCAAAAGGTGAATGACTAACTAACTCCATTCACCAGTGTTCTTTTCCAGGCCCTAGCACATATTTGCAGTTCTGTTAGCAATACAGTAATATAAGAGGTATATTTGCTGCAATATCTTCTATAGGTTGGGCCTAATTTGAAACCCACATGAAATTTAGTGTCACTTCCCTTTTTGAACCTGAACCTTGTGTAGAAACTGCAAAATCATCTTCATCCTCACAGCAGTGTTTGATTGTAGAAATCAGATTGGTTTGGTGTTCTGGAGACTAGGCGGGGTTCTAGAACCAATTCTGCCACTAAGCAACCAAATGACCTCAGGCAAGTCTATTTCCCTGTAGGAGCCTCAGATAGCATAGAGAACTGATAGACTCAGAATAAAGTTTTAAGTATATTTTCTTCTCTCTCTTTTCTTTTGGGGGGTGGACACCTGCTAATGTGGGAATTTTTTTTGCATGACTATTCATATTTGTAATGGGTTTGTTTTTTCTTTCCTTCTCAATGGATGGAGGCATGGGAGAGGGAGGGAGAAAATTCAGAACTGAAAATAAAATTGAATTTTAAAATTTAAATAAATAAAATAATAGAGGGAGTATGAACTAGGTTATCTCAAAAGTCCCTTTCTAGCCCTAACAGTCTATGATTGGGGGATTAGTTACAGTAAACTTAAAACAAAACAACAACAAAAAAAAGATGAACTCACTTGAGGGCTGCAGATAGTATCCTTGCTGGACTTGAGAACAGCAGCTTGCAAATAAGTCTCTTTCTCCTTTATTAACTGAAAAACAAATTGGTCTTACCCAGTAGCTATGGGAAAGCTTCCAAGCCATGATTATATGAGAAAGATGATAAATAGTAACTATACCTGGTTCTTTGTGGAGTATCACTTTTTATTTTTATTTATTATGTGCTTAAGAATCATCAACAAACATGAGCACTTAAATATACAAAGAACAAAAAAGATGATTTTGATGATATGTATGAGATCATGAACTTGTTAGATTCCATTTGTTTTATTTTTATATGTATGCTAATTTTAACACAATCATAACAAAATTGACATGGGTTGGGGTTTTTTGTATGTGTCCTTGTGTGTATCTTCTTCTTAACTTCTTTTTTATTTTATTTTCTCGCCTTTTGTTGTTCCTGGTTGCATCTTTCACTAGGTCGGACTCATCTCTGGAACAGTCTTCCTGATCTTAGGGTTGACCGTTCTGGCAGTGGGCTTTCTGGTGCCCCCCAAAATTGAAGCCTTTGGAGAGGGAGATTTTGTAATGGTGGATTCCCAGGCCATTCAGTTTAATGGAGCACTAGACATCTGTAAGCTGTCAGGAGCTGTTTTATTTTGTATTGGAGGAATGACCATGGCTGTGTGTCTACTGATGTCTGCTTTTGCAAAAAGCTACTCCAAAGAAGAAAAATACCTTCAACAGAAGTTCAAAGAGAGAATAGCAGACATCAAAGCCCATGCCCAGCCCATCACAAAAGCTCCAGCCCCAGGGGAAACCAAGATACCGGTCACTTTGTCCAGAATTCATAATATCCAGCCTTTATCAGAAACCTGAAGCTTTATTCTGCCTCCCTTCTGTAATTTAGACATACCAGTTAAATGGGAGAACATCACCTTTGGTAATGGCAAGAATATGGCATGTCACACACCACTGGGCAGCAGCAGCCGCCGCCACTTCTGAGGGAAAGCTGAGCAGAACTCAGAGCCATTTGTTTCAGGCTTCAGAACAACACATACATCCCACTCTTTATGATGTGTATTTCCCTTTACTAAACTGGGAGACCCCACAGAAATACTTGTTGACATCCTGTGACTTCATCGTCATTTTCTGTGTTCTTTGAAAGTGCTATACAGTTTTAGACCAGCCTTACTAGTGGTCAACATCCAACCTAAGGATAATGTGGTCTGGTTTCATTTTTTTATTTTTTTCTAATATTTTTCTGCTTAGTACTGCTTTCAGTTCCATCCCTACTGAGTAGTATAAGATATGGTCAAGTATATTCATGGAAAAACTGGTTTTCCTTATTCTGACCTACAGCTTTACCTTTTAACTGTATTACTTAACATGAGGCTCCTCATATTAGACTCAAATTTATCACTCTCCCTTATGGATGTATGTGCCCTTGGATTTTTTGTGCAAAAATGATAAAAATCACCCAGTTGAAGATCACTAGACAATATGATCAAAAAAAATTTAAGAATGTGGGCATCTCTATTCATAGTACTGGGGAGGGAGCACAGTTGAAATGAAAAATGAACAAATAAAAAACAGCACTTGAAGTCAGGAATCTGGAATTCTATTCCCTACTCCACCACTAATTTACTTGGGTGACTCTGGGCACTTCTCTAGGCCTCACTACAATTTATCTATAAAATGAGGGGAGTTGGACTAGATAATCTTTAATGCCCTTTCCAGCTTTCAATTCTTTGATTATTGTACACAATATGTAATTTTATCCTCCTCCTCTGGGGTTTGTTTCAATGTGTTTGTTCCACAGACCAGTGTCATTCTTTCACACCTTGACGCATTGAAAGCCACAGATTTGAGGTTCATTGGTAACCTCTATTCTGTTATGTTCTATTGACAGGGTATCTCAATACCTGACTTTAACTTGATACTGAAAGAAGTTTATACAATGCTCTCATATTTTTATAAAGACTAAACAAAGCCATCCTCAAATAAGAAATCTCTGTGAAGATACTAACCTGAAAAGGATTTTCCTTCACAGACAACAAATTTTATTTTCCTTGAAAGGAAGTCATCACCTCCCTTTGCACTTTAATTTAATCTGTGGATTTAAATTAGGCTGTAAAATGGAAGGTATGACCATGGCATCCTCTCAAAAATCCTCTCGAAAAAAAGCCAACTTATACTGCTATTTTTGAATGGATAAATAAAATATATGAATGAGCCGAATATAAATTGCATTGTCATTCCTTCAGCATCTGGCTTGCTTTCTCTGCCTGTTTTCTATTATGAGGATGAATAAGCAATGGATGAGTAAGTAGATGGCTAAACAGAAGAAAAAAGGTTCTAATAAGTATTTCTATGTGTGCACTCTGTATTTTACACAGTTTAACATAAATTATAGGAAAAAACAGTCAACATTTGTTAATTTCCAACATTGTGCCCAGTGGTATACAAAACACTAGGGATACAAAGATAAGAGTGAAGCAGTGCCTGCCCTCAAAGAGCTTACATTCTAATGAGGGAGAGGATAGGAAGAAAGGAAGGAAGGAAGCAAGGAAGGAAGGAAGGAAGGAAGGAAGGAAGGAAGGAAGGAAGGAAGGAAGGAAGGAAGGTGGATAGATTTAGTAAGCACTTTCTATGGGCAAGCTCTGTGCTAAACACTGGGGATACAAATAGAAAAATAAGACGATCTTTTCTTTCAAAGAGCTCACATTCTAACCAGAGCAACAACACATATGGAAGGTTTCAGGGGCATATCAGATGGTCCTATGGTCATTAGGGCACAGCAGCAAAGCAGATGGTAAAGCTTCTCCTTTAATGTCATTTTCACTGATAGAATGATAATTTCTGCTATTTAACCATTTGACAGAGTCAAATATTTTCTCTGCAAGAATTTTCTTTTCTGGGTCTTCAGTAGCTGTGGCTGTCAACAAGCACCCACCCACTCCCCACTAGAATAATAGCCTTAGGCACTGGGCTAGAAGCAGTGCCCCTTCCAAGGCTCCTGGGCTCAGGGTCCTGGGCTGTCTCCATCAGGGCCCAAAGGACACGTATAAATTTATGCAATGCATATGTATGTATATATGTATATGTATATACTATATATACAAAATGAAAATAAGGTACAGTAGTTTACAGAAAGATGATACTAGATGCTAGGGTTATTAGGAAGGGCTATATGAAGAAAGAAAGTATTTGAGTTGAGTCTTAAAGGAAACCAGAGATTCTAAGAGACAGAAGGAAGAAGGGAGAGTATCCCAGGCATAAGTGACAATCCTCACAAATGTACAGAAATTGAGGGTGTAGTGTAGTGTGTGAGAAATAGCAAATAGGCCAGTATAGATGGAGAGACACAGAGTATATGAAGGGAACAAATGTGTGAGATGACTGGAAAAATTTGAAGGGACAAGGTTGTGAAGAGCATTTGGCATTTGACCATAGTGGTCATAGGATCATAGATTGAAAGCTAGAAGGGGTATATTAGAGGGCATCTAGGCCAATCTATCTATCTAACTTATCTATCTAATCTAATAATGAATTAAGATAGATTAGATCATAGATTTAAAGTTAGAAGGGATATTAGAGGGCATCTGGTCTAATCTCTTCATTTCACAGATGAGGAAACTGAGGCACTACAGTCATACAGCTAGTAAGTATCTGAAGCAGGATTTGAACTCAAGTCTTCCTGACATCAAGTCCAACATTTTACCCACTGTGCCACCTATTTGGTAAGAGGGACCCACTGGAGTTTATTGAGTGGGGCTGGAGAAGGACATGCCCTGACCTGAATTTTAGAAAAAAATCACTTTGTTGACTTTGTGCAGGATAGATTGGAGTGGAGTTCAAATGCAGTCTCAGACATTTACTAATTGTGTGACCCTGGACAAATCACTTAACTCTGTTTACCTCCGTTTCCTCATCTGTAAAATGGGCTAGAGAAGGAAATGGCAAACCACTCTAGAATCTTTGCCAAGAAAACCCCAAATAGGGTCACAATAAGTCAGACATTAATGAAACAACTCAACAAGAACAGCAACTGGCCAGATTTGAAAGAATTCTTTCTGGCTTCTTCGCTACGTGACCTTCCCATAGAGATGTTTATTTTTACCAGAACCTCTAAAATCTTGTAAAGATGCCCCTGGCACCTGTATAGGAGAGCCTATTTTGATTTTTTTTTCTTCCTTAATTCAATTCTTGTTCATTCTTTAGCCCCATGAGATAGCATCTGATTTTTAAATGTCTTTGGAATGATATATATATATATATATATATATAAAAATTTGAATGCATTTGTGAACAGATATTCAAGTAGGTGTAAAAAATGAGTCTTGTCTTAGCTGCCCAGGGTAAGAAAAAAACATGATAAGCAATAATGGAGAATAGTTCTAAAATGGACATTTACTATCTCAGCCTCCTGCTCTGTATAGAGATTTCACTGGACTGTGTGTTTGTAAAGATACTGACAGTGCCAGAAGATGTTTGTGATATCATCACCCAAAAGGAAGTACAGAAAGGATGTAAGGAGGGTGAAAACATATAGAGGTTCTAAATAAACATGATGGCCAAACAGAGACTGGTTACTGATGGAGTTGCAGCATTCATTGTTGTTATTTTTTAAGCCAGCAACACTAAATTAGAGAGGTATAAGTGTTTCAATATTCCAGAAGAGTATTTTCTAATTTCTCACCTACTCTGTTGCCAATAGTCCAGTTATCCCAGGGCCTTTAAAATAAATCAAAACAGGACTAAGCATAGACATGGTAGGGGAAGAAGTAAGGGTAGCAATTGGAGGAACTGAGGACCTGGAATCTGGTCTGAAAATCACCAAGCCATTGAATCTCAGATTCTGTCTGAGGCTTTTAAGCATTGTGCCAAGCACAATGAAATCAACTTCACCACCTCTCTTATAGACCTGAGAACCACCCTCCTAATTTAACTGCAACTCCCTTGTATCTTATGACTTTGTTTATAATGAGAATAATGTTTATATACTTGCTTCATTTCTCTAGCAGTATATCAAAACTCAATGGTCATTCGGCAAGGATCTTGCCTTAAGAGTGACAACAGTAATTTAATATTTATAGGATATGGATATGAACTAAACTTAAACTAAAATGATCTCATTTATGTAAGGAACTCCCAAATGAGGAAATTCCCTCTACCAATGCAAATGGGCACCTTCTCTGCAACTTAGAAAGCACTGAGGGATTAAGTGACTTGCTCAGGGTAACAAAGCCCATATGTATGGACTTGAGCCCAAGGATTTTTGGATCCAAGACCACTTCTATCTACTATCCCAACACTGCTTCTGTTTATTGAAAGTCAAAAAAACCTTTGTGATTCTTTGCATCCCCTGCCTCTTTTTTTCATCACTTTGCCATTGTCACTGCCAGAGCAAAAACTGACCACATAGAATTGGGGGATGTTTCATATTTTTCTTTGTTTCATAGTTTACTAAAACCAACTATAAATTCATCATTTAGTCCCACCCATCAAGTGATGAGGCTCTCTATACTTTAGCTAAGCTCAGCCAAATCAGCAAGTACAGTCCACCCTGAGGAGTGTACTCAAAGTCTTTCCAGCTTATGCTTCCTCGGTGTAGTTTTCTTTTTTCTTTTTCTTTTCTTTTCTTTTTAATTTATAGAATAAAATGAGCATTTCCATAACATAGTATAACCAAAAAAAGACGCATATGAAACTACAAATCTATTGTGTACAACTTGCTAGTTCCTTTTAAATATGTAATAAAGTTATCATGTACATTTCTTTTTTCTTCTTCCTCCCTTCTTCCCCTTACCCTAGAGATGGCTACCATTGGACACAAATAGATATAGATATAGAGATATAGAGATATAGATACACAT